TCCGAGGAGACTTCATCTTCAAACAACATTCACTTTAAGGCTAGAACAGAAACCATAGTTAAAATAAACATCCTCAACCCCTGAAATAAAGGAAGGAATAGTGCCAAACACAAAAATTATGGAAGGCGTCTATTTGTCACGTGCCATCGTTAAAGTAAACAATAACAACGAGGCTTACGCCACCATTTTGAATACAAGAACGACTGATCAAACAATTGAACCAATCACAGTTCGCCTTGAGAAAGCTTCAAAACAGTGTTTCCAAATAAAAAGTCTAGAACCACGACATAAAAGGAAATCAATAATAAGTAACCATTTGAGGTTAGAGCATCTTAATGAAGAAGAAAAAACATCAATAGTTAAAATTTGTGAATCTTATTCCGATATTTTCCACTTACCCGGAGATTATTTAAGTTCGACAGAGGCAATTGAGCATAAAATCAATACTATTAATGAAAATCCTATTTATACTAAAACTTACAGATATCCTGAAATACACAAAAGAGAGGTTAACAAACAGGTGACCGATATGCTGAAACAAAACATTATAAGACCTTCCAATTCTCCTTGGTCGTCTCCATTATGGGTTGTTCCAAAAAAATCTGATGCTTCTGGAGAGAAGAAATGGAGAGTAGTAATTGATTATCGAAAATTGAATGAAGTTACAGTAGATGACAAATATCCTATTCCTAATATTGAAGAAATTTTAGACCAGTTAGGGCGTTCAAAATATTTTACTACTCTAGACTTGGCTTCCGGTTTTCACCAAATTCCATTGAATGACGATGACAGTAAAAAGACAGCTTTTACAACTCCTTTTGGACACTACGAGTACACGCGTATGCCTTTTGGACTGAAAAATGCCCCAGCTACTTTTCAAAGACTAATGAATACCGTTTTATCCGGTTTACAGGGACTACAATGTTTTGTTTACCTTGACGACATCGTGATCCATGCTGCTAGTATTCAGGAACACGAAATTAAGTTAAGGAAAATATTCGACAGACTCCGACTAAATAATCTCAAATTACAGCCGGACAAATGTGAGTTCCTAAGAAGAGAAGTCGTTTACTTGGGACATACTATCAGTGACGTAGGTGTCAGACCAAACCCAGACAAAGTACAAGGAATTAACTCATTCCCTATCCCGAAAAGTACTAAGGACATAAAGTCTTTCTTAGGTCTGGTAGGTTATTATCGTAGGTTTATAAAAGGATTTGCCAAAATTGCAAAGCCCTTGACAATTCTTCTTAAGAAAAACCAGGACTTCAAATGGACAAACAAAGAGCAAGAAGCATTTGAAAAATTCAAGGAAATCCTTTCCACACAACCCATATTACAGTACCCCGATTTTAATAGCGAGTTTGTCTTGACAACGGATGCATCGAATTTCGCAATAGGAGCCGTCCTCAGTCAGGGGGAAATAGGAAAAGACTTACCAATTGCCTATGCATCTAGAACTCTGAATGAGTCCGAATTAAACTATAGTGTAATTGAAAAAGAACTCCTAGCTATCGTATGGAGCGTCAAACATTTTCGACCCTACCTCTTCGGAAGGAAATTCACTATTGTCACAGATCATAGACCTCTAACCTGGTTGTTTAATTGCAGGGAGCCCAATAGTAGGTTGGTACGGTGGAGAATTAAATTAGAAGAATATGATTATAAGATTATTTATAAGAAGGGAAGCCTAAATGCAAATGCCGATGCACTCTCCAGAAATGTCTATATAAACGTACCATCGTCCGACAAATCCGAAAGAATCCATCCCAAAAGTAAGGAAGAGATTAAGAAAATTTTGGTAGAAAACCATGATTCTAAACTGGCTGGACATTGTGGATTTTGTAAAACCTATCAAAGAATCAAACAACGTTATTACTGGAAAACAATGAAGAATGATATAAAAAACTATATAAGAAGTTGCAAGTCCTGCCAAGTTAACAAAATTAATTTTAAACCTATTAAGGTGCCCATGGAAATAACAACTACCTCTAAGCAAGCTTTTGAAAAATTGGCCATAGATGTCATGGGACCATTGCCAACCACTAGTGAGGGAAATAAGTTCATTCTGACCATGCAAGATGACTTAACCAAGTATTCATACGCGGAGCCCATACCGAACCATGAGGCGAGAACAATAGCTTCGAAGATCTCCAAATTCGTGACGTTATTCGGAATCCCTAAATTTATTCTGACAGATCAAGGCACTGATTTTACATCGAACATAATTAAAAACTTAATGAAATTATTTAAAACAAATCACATAAAATCTACTCCATATCATCCGCAAACTAATGGAGCATTGGAGAGATCTCATCTGACCCTGAAGGAATATTTAAAACATTATATAAACGAGAGACAAGACGATTGGGACGAATTTATTCCTTTTGCCATGTATTCCTTCAATTCGCACACGCATACTTCCACAGGTTACACTCCATATGAGCTTTTATTTGGCAAGAAACCGTTCATACCGAATTCATTAATAAGAAAATCTACACTCAGAAAATTCATTGATAAACCATTTAATAAAAATTACGATGATTATATTAGTGATTTAAAGGAGAAGATTCAAATCAGTCAAAAATTAGCCAGAGAGAATCTAATAAAACATAAAGTGAAGTCAAAACAATATTACGACAATAAGATCAATATTCACGATTATAAGATTGGAGATTTGGTTTATATAAAAAACAATTTAACTAAAATAGGAATCAATAAAAAACTTAGTCCAAAATTTAAAGGCCCATACGAGATCAAGAAAATATCTGGGAATAACGTTTATTTAAAAATCCGTAACAAATTAGTTACTTATCATGTTAACAACACAAAACCGTGTTCTGGGTAGTTGATCTAAAGAGAGAAATCCAAAATAATAATAATTTAATCCTTTTATTTTCCCATACAGCTAATCATCATTTATTTTATTATTAATCCATTTATTCTTTTTCTAATCATTATTCTATGTTTCCTATATAAAATTCTTGTATTTTTCAGAACTTATGTCAATTTTGTTTCGAATTTCATGTCTCTTGATTTTATTCTTTTATCTTTACTCTTTATGTAACATTGTTCACTAACGAGTATTGCCTAGGAAAGGTTCTACTACTTGCAGCTATAAAGCTTAAAATTATGTTCCTGATAAGAAGCCAATGTGAAGAGATACAACAGTCTACCATACAGAAGACATAGCACCTACTACTACTCAAGGAGTCTCAACCTGGACGGAACCATTCAGAACCCGACATAGGAAGCTGTCAAATCCGAACAAGAGGAGAAAACAAATTCTTTTTCAAATAATTGTTTTCCGTCTTAAGGGGGGAGGTGTTATGATCCCGTACTCAATATTCACATTTTCAAATTTTTATAAACAAAAGACTGGCGACGAACTCGAATTGTTCTTCTTTAGAAGCGAAGCTTCTAAAGACTATTTCTTTTGTTTTAGTTGCAAGTGTTTGCTAGTTCCCATTGTTGCTCGTTCGAAACAGTTGACTGTCGAAAGACCAAAGTAATATAGGCAAGCTACACAGCTTGGCGTTGGTTCATTTGATTTTTAGTCTAGCTGTAATAAGTTCTTGTTTATTAATATTAGTTTTGTGATAGTTTTAAGTGCTTGTTCATTACTTACAAAAATAAAGAACGAACCGAATATAACAATATATATATATATATAATTTAAATAATTGGCTCCGTTTAATCCACATCAATGATATGTTTTTTTAACGGTTCAAAGTTTAAATTATTTTACAAACAAACATCATCAGGTATGAACAGGTATCAAAAAAAAAAAAAAAAAAATTTCAATAAATCAATCAATCATTAATCTAACTAACAAATCCTTCAATGCCTTTTTCAAACAAAAAAAAACCCCATTAATTTCTTAATTATTTTATATCTTACCGTTAATTATTATTCGTCCTTTTCATTCGAATCCTTTATTTTATCATCAGATTAATAAATCGACCGTTATTTGTAACAAAAAACTATTCAAATTATGCAACTTTTCAATGTGTAAACAACACTCGAATCCGCCATTAATGGTTTTTTCATTAAAATTAGATGTCGCTCGACAGCAAAACCTTTGTCATAGAGTAATAAACAAATTGGTAACCGTTTTGCGACAATTATAAAAACATTATTTATATACGTATACACTCTATGGAATATTTTACTTACGTAACACAATAATAATTATTAAACGATTTTTTTTTTTTTTTTTTTTTTTTAACGATTATAATATTAATCGAATCGATTTATCGAATTTTTCGAAAAAATCGATTATCGATATATTCGTCATTAACGAAAAATTCTAATAATAATAATTATAATTATAATAAACGTATTTGTTTTAAACTAACGTATTAATAACCTTGACAATATTGCATTTGAAATAATAATAATAATAATTATTTATGGTTTAATTTAGGTTCATTATACGAAGGCCAGGGTTAAATAATAAATAAATAAATAAATTTTATCCCCTTTAAACGAATACATAGATTTTCATATACCTTTATGAATTATTTTCTTTTATATACTCGATAATATTTAATACCTGACTTTATGTTTGTTATGTGACCTTGTCATCATCATCCATTTGGAGTAGTTCGAAAGAAAAAAAATTAATAATAAATATTAATTAATTGGCACGATTTCGAATGGTTTTGTACTTGGCAACACATCGCGTTATTTAAAAAAAAATATTTTTTGTTATTAGCGAGGTTCACGACCCTTCAACACGCACATTCGAAAAGTTTATAATAAAATTCACGTAATAAACAAACTTCAGGGTTATTTAATTTTGCCCTTGTGTCATATATTTAATAATAATAATAATAATAATAATAATAATAGTGTCAAATCACGTTCGTTAATAAATAAATAAATAATAATAATCTTTTTTTTTTCTTTCTATCACGCAGGTAATCGTCGTTTGTTTTTTGACGTTACCGATTATTTAACGGATATTAAATACGGTCCTGATGGTATGACAATTGATGATAATGATAATTTATGGGTCGCTCTTTTCGGTTCTGGTAAAATTTTAAATATAAATGGTAAAACGGGTGAATTTATTAAAGAAATTAAACTACCCGTTACGTGTCCGACATCGATTGCTTTCGGTGGTACTCATCTCGATGAATTATACGTAACATCATCGGCATTTTTTACTAAACCGGAAGATAAAAAACTTTATCCAGCATCCGGTGGTACATTAAGAATTATTCATGTCGGAGTTAAAGGACGCATTGCTAATCCTGCACAATTTTAATAATAACAATAATAATAATAATACTTTATTAATTAATTACTATATTATCGTTCGAAATCATATATATATAAAAAAAAAAAAAAAAAAAACAAAATAATAATGATAATAATAATATTTTTAAATCGTTTATGATTGTTCGTCATCTTGCGATAAATCAATTGGAAAACAAAACAAATTATTTACAAATTATTAATAATGACGAATTTTTTGTTTTTGTTTTTTTTCTATTTTTTAAACATAATTAAAAATAATTAAAACTATAATTTGAGATCATGACTCATTGTAAACAAAAAAAAAAAATATGAAATTTATATAATAAAAAATAATTTTTTTAAACTTTTTTTTTTTAAATAATGAATCGGGATGTCGTAAGTTTTTTTTTTTTTTTTTTTTTTTTCTTTTTCTCAACGAATATAAAATGAATAATAATAATAATAATAATAATAATAATTCGTTCGTACATACATACATACATATTTATACAAAATAATAATAATAATAATAATAATATTATATCATTTTCAACATTTATCAACACAGAAATCCGGGTTTCGTACAAGAAATATAAAAGGGAAAAAAAATAATAGATTCGAGTCGTCAAAGAAAAAAATTTTTTATTTTTTTCTTACGCAAATTTTTATGACGAACGACATCATTCCCTCCCCCCTCTCTCCCTCTCTTTCTCTCTCTCTCTCTTTTTTTTTTTTTTTTAATTAATTGTAAAAGTGAAAGTTAAAAATTTTAAATCATACGTTGTTAAAAAAAAAAAAAAAAAAAAATTTATTTTCCATACAACTAAGTCATAAACTGAAATTATTTACAAATTTTTTTTTTTTTAACTTTTCTAATCGTCGAACCCTTATAATAATAATAATAATAATACGTTACTATTCACATTCTCGTGATTGCGATGATTATTTAAAAAAAAAAAAATTACAATACAAATTTAAATTCTAAATCATGTTTCATGTTTTTTTTTTTTTTTTTTTTTTTTTTTAGGAACACAAATCGATAGGAATCAATATATGGAATTAATTTTTTATCGATTTTTTTTTTTGAGTTATTTATATTTGAATTTTATGAAAAAAAAAAAAAAAACCCGATCGTTGTTTTAATTTCCAAAAAAAAAAAAAAAAAAAAAAAAAAAACCCTTCCATAAAAACGTGTTCGTTAAACGAAACGAAACGGGTTTAAAGTTTAAAAAATAAAAAAAAATTTCAGAAAAACGACGACGTTTCCCCCTCCCTCCCCTCTTCCCCTCCACTCCCTCCCATTCCACCCCCTCTCGTCTCCCTGCGCCGCCCCTCCCCCCATTCGAAAAAAAAAAAAAAACGCATTTGGAATAATTTTTCCATCGTCGAAAGTATGTCACATACATTCGAATGCAAAATAATTATTATTATTATTATTAATGAAACAAACCGACGAATGCATACGTAAAATAGTTTAAGGCCGAATTTCCTGAACACACAAAATTTTCCTCCACATTCCCTCCCCCCATCCTTCCCATCTCCCCCTCCTTTATTTTTTTCTAACGGTTTTACATGACGTGTAAATTCAAAATAAATAAATAAATAAATAATCGACTGGAGAATAACAAGAAATCATTTAAAAAAATTTCAAAACATGATTCAGGCACGTAATAAGAAAAAAAAAAAAAAAATTCAATCATTCGTTGACTAGTCAAATGATACGAAAATAAAATTCAAGGGAATCCATATCGTTTCTTCTGTAACATTCATTTAAAGGCCAAATAATAACAACAACGCAACGCAAAATAAATAAATTTACACAATTATTATTATTATTATTATTATTATTATTATTATTATTATTATTATTATTATTATTATTATTGACTATTAAAAACATAAGTCAATAAATAAATAAAAATTTTAAAAAAAAAAAAAAATATTTTTTTAACGTTTGTTTGTTCGTTTGTTTGTTTGTTTGTTTGTCTAAAATTTTTATATAATTCAAAAAACTTATTAATAAATAAACCCTTGAATCGAAATTTAATTAGTGATAATAATAATGATAATAATAATAATAATAATAATGATAATAATAATAATAATAATAATAATAATAATAATAATAATAATAATAATTTTCTTTAAATTAGGTCTCGACGAAAGTGGTCTGATCGATAAAAAAAAAAATTTTTTTCTTTTAAAAGGTCACCACACGTAAAAAAAATTACACCCGAAAAAAAAGGAAAAAAACTCGACGATCGATAATAATAATAATAATAATAATAATAATAATAATAATAATAATAATAATAATAATAATGACTTTTTCTATAAAAAAAGCATACCGATTAATTAATTAGTTTTTTTTTTTTTTTTTTTCAAAACTCTGTAAACTGTGCGACTCTTGCTTAATCGCGATAAACCCTCGAAAACGGAAGCGAAAAAATAAAACCGGAAATGGCTATTTAAATTTTTAAACCGTTATTCGTTTCGAACAATTTTTCCTTTTTTTATGTTAATTATTAACTAAAATTTTTAATTATTTTTTTCGAGACGAAAAAAATATAAAAATCAAATTAATCACAAATAATCGCACGTTTGTTTGTTTGTATGAGTTATTTTAAAAATTATTTCATCGTCGTCGTCGCCATTTTTATTATTATTATTATTATCATTACTCATAATCGATTTGTTCGAAAAAAAAGTAAGTCGGTCGAATAAGAAAGAAGAAAAAAAAAATATATTTTTAAAGAAAAAAAGGAAAAGTGTTTTGAAATTACGCAATTTTAAAAGTTACAGCATCCTAATATATATAAACCTCGCATAACGAATCGACGTAATCATTATTATCATTATCATTATTATTATTATTACTTTTTGCCTTTCTTCATTCGTTTCGAATGATATTTAAATATTTTCATTTTTGAATCACCTTTTCTCTCTCTTTCTCTCTCTCGTGGCTTTTAAAAAGAAATATTAATAATAATAATAATAATAATAATAAAGGTATATTTACGTTACGTACATCAAAAACTAATTAGTAATTGCCTTAAACCGGTCAACAAATAGATTTTCATAAATTTTTATTATTATTATTATTATTTTGTACCATCATCCAATTTTATTTATTTATTTATTCATTTACGAGGCGAGTGGAGTGGGGGTGGGGGTGGGGGTGGGGTAATTAATTAAATAATTTTCATAACGATGACCCAACATTATAATCTTGTACGAGAAAAACCAGTTTCTGTGTTGCCGTTATTGTTATTATTATTATCATCATTATTATTTTAAATAAATTTTCTTTTCGTATTAATAATAATAATAATAATAATGAAAATTAATAGTACCGATGTATTGGATTAATTAGTAGAACTCGAATAGTTTATTTTTATCATTACATTTATGTGCATTCGAAAAAGAAAAATTTTCTCTCTCTCTCTCTCTCTCTCTTTATGCCCCTTTTAAACCGATCAAGTTCTACGTACCTGTATGTAAGTACAATACCTTGTCGCATTGTCTTACACACACTCTCTTAATTTCAGTCTTTTATATATATATATATATTATATTTACATATTATATTAACCGCTTCATTACCAAGTAGTGTTCCTCCTCCTACTCCTCCTCCTCCTCCTTTTGAATACAAAACAAAACCACAATACTGATAATAATAACTTTCTTAGCCGTTACCCTTACCGCACTCCACTACTACTACTACTACTACTACTACATATATGTGTAATTTTTTTATTTTAAAGGCCGATCACTTTATTATTATTATTTTAAAACATTCTTCATGTTTTTTTTTTTTTTCGTTTAATTTCTATATAAAGACACTTAATTAATTATTAATTTCGGTCGTACAAATAAAATTTTTTCATAATATTTTAGTATCACGTACTTACTTGATATAAATTTTTTAAAAACACAAAATTTTAAACATTCGAAAAAAAAAATAATAATAATAATAAAAACATTGTTAAAACACCTGCACTATATTTAAGTGATTTTTTTTTTTCTTCTTCTTCTTACTTCTTTGTTTGTTATTTTTTTTTTCGCTTTCACTATAATTGGTTTAGTCGATATATGTTTAATATTAACATTTAAATCACTGATATCCTAAAAGATTATTTAAACGATCATTCCAATTTAATAACCAATTCAACAATGTAGGCTTCAGATCTGGAGCCATGGTTTCCCCTGGAGAATAGTCTTCGTTTCTTATTGTAAAATACGAATTAAATGGACTTCTGCACATTGGACACCTATCTAATTTTTCAAAACAAACGGAGCATACGCATGTGTGTCGACAAGGCAGTAGAGCCCTGGACAAAGGAAAATATTGACAAACTACACATAGCTGTTCTCCGGCAACAGCCCAAACTGATACATCATCTTTATCATAAGTTGGTGTCGTATTGTTCATGGAAGAATTTGTAGTCGTCGTCTCTTCGCCATTTATATTATTTCCAGCAGCTAAATATAATTGCTTTAAACATGATAATTGTCCATTGGCTTGTTTAAGATATTGAGCTAATATACTAGTGGGAAGAGTACAAACTGAATCTTTTATATGTACAACATTTACAAGAGCAACTGTTTCATCAGGATGAAGTGAAACTTGCGAATCATTCCTGACGATAAATATGACAAGTGGGTAACACAATCTGGGTGGCGTACCTAAATCTAGCGGAGGTGTAGGAAAATTCAATGAGAACACTTTTTCTTTGTGTGGATCACTTGTCAATTCCAAACCTCCTAATTGATAAAAACCTGACAGCATATCACCAGATGCAACACTTTTTTGAATTAAACTCCAAGGTTTCCACAAAAACATATGTAGTTCTCTAATAGAAACACCCCAAAATGCCCGGATGGTATACGTGATTTGACTTGTGATTGTGCAATTGATAGAATCGGAAGATTTTGAAGTTTCATCCAGCTTCAGTATAAACGGAATTGTTATTTTCATCATTTTCATTCTAGGTATTTGTCGTTGATGCATTCCATTTCCAAAAACAATGTCTTCGTGAAGCCGAAAAACTAACAAATTTATATTTTTCATTAGAAAAAACACCATCCCGATAAAACATACTAATGTCGCAAATATAGAAAAAAAATTTGAAAATTCAGATGCAGACACTAAAAACGTAGACATTGCGAGTATCATTTTTGGGTATTTACAATTTCTTTTGTTAAAAATTAAATTTTTAAAAAAATACTTTTATTCACACGAGACATCGCGAGTCTGTAAGCAACTTCATATTATTCCGTGCGATATCAAACCGCCTAACTACCTTTGACCTAGATTTTTATCCATCTGAGAAACCTAACCGACGGCTAAGATGAGATTAGACGTCATAATCAGAATGAATTCTCCATTGGCCGACAAAACTTTCTTTGATAATAATATTGTCGTCCGACATTTTTCCCTTATATGTTATTAAAAAATGGCTCCATCAGTACGACACGTGAATAATTTAAAAAGAAAGAAAAAGTTTAAAGAGAAAATAGGGGAAAGGAAAAAGAAAAAATTAGCAGTTCACGGAGAAATCAAAAGTATTCAAGAATCTTATTCTTCGGTAATATCATTTAAAATTTTAACGGTTTTACATTATCATATTTACACATATTACATTTATATGGCAATGCATATGACATATATGATAAGTGCACAGTATTACAGTATTGTTATTTTTGAAAACTTTCAGATTGACCCTTCTAATATAAAAAAATTTTCCGACTTTCCACTATCCAGAAGCACGTTAAAAGGACTGTACGAAAGTAATTACATTACACCTAGTGAAATTCAAAGAGAAAGCATTGGTTATGCTTTGCAGGGAGAAGATGTGTTAGGTGCTGCACAAACTGGCAGCGGAAAAACTCTCGCTTTTCTTATACCAGTAAGTATAAAAATTATTTATAAGTCAATCACATAACTGTAAATAATGATTTAAGGTAAATAAATCAAAATATACTGTGTGCATTTTTAGGTATTAGAAATTTTATATTGCAAACAATGGACCAGGTTAGACGGTGTGGGAGCTCTCATAATCACCCCTACAAGAGAGTTAGCCTATCAAATTTTTGAAACATTGAAAAAAATAGGCAAACATCATGATTTTTCAGCTGGTCTTATCATTGGAGGAAAAGATTTACATTTCGAAAAAGGAAGAATGGATCAGTGCAACATAATAATTTGTACTCCTGGAAGAATCCTTCATCATATGGATGAGAATCCTTTATTCGATTGTAACAGCATGCAAATTCTTGTATTAGATGAAGCAGACAGGTGTTTGGATTTAGGATTTCAAGAAACTATGAACAACATAATAGAAAATTTACCACCCAAAAGACAGACGCTTCTTTTTTCAGCAACTCAAACGAAAAGTGTTAAAGATTTGGCTAGACTAAGTTTAAAAAATCCAAAATATGTGGCAGTGCACGAACACAAATCTCACAGTACTCCAGAATCGTTAGAACAAAGTTATGTAGTGTGTGAACTTCATGATAAAATAAAAATGATTTGGTCGTTTATTAAAAATCACAAAAGACAAAAAATATTAATATTTTTATCTAGTTGTAAACAAGTTAAATACATATATTTATTATTCTGTAGACTTAGACCGGGTTCACCCCTTTTAGCTTTATATGGAAAATTACATCAGTTAAGAAGGATGAAAATTTATGATGAATTTTGTGCTAAACAAAATGTCGTCATGTTTGCCACCGATATTGCAGCTAGAGGTTTAGATTTTCCCGATGTTAATTGGGTTGTACAATTAGATTGTCCGGAAGATGCAAAGACTTACATACATAGAGCAGGAAGAACTGCTAGATATAAAAAGGGAGGAGAGAGTTTGCTTGTTTTATTACCTTCCGAAGAAAAAGCCATGTCTGAAGAATTGAGTGCTGAAAAAATTCCAATATCTAAAATTGAGTAAGTGCCTAATTTCTTTTTTTAAATAAAAAATGGTTGATTAAGATTTTTTAACATTTGTGCAAATTTTTAGAATCAATCCGAAGATGCTTCAGTCGCCAGCTAGAAAAATAGAAGCTTTGGTTGCAAGAGATCCAAATCTTAAATTAGATGCTCAAAGAGCTTTTGTAGCTTATATCAAAGGAGTTTTTCTCATGAAGAATAAAAATATATTTAATGTGGAAGCTTTAAATTTAGAAAAATATGCTTATTCATTAGGATTAGCAGTCATGCCTAGGGTTAGATTTTTAAAGGGAAAAATATCAAGTGAAACACTTCATAATAAAAAAATCCAAGAGCATGGCGATTCTTCCGATGCCCTTGCAAAAAAAATGGACAAATTGGATTATGAGAGTGGAAGCGAAAGCGAAGTCACTGAACAACAAAGCGAACCTGATCGGGGAAATGAAAGCTCCGATGATGAAAATGAAAATTTCTTAACGATCAAACGACGAAATCACGAAATCGATATAGAGCCCGTAGACGAAGTAAACGAAACCGCGGGGAAAAAATGGAAATTGTTGACAAAAGCAGCCATTGCTAAAAAA